CTGTAGAACTAGAATAGAACCATTTATCTTGAAACACCCTGTAAAACTAGAATAAAATCATGAATTTTTAAAAGTTAAAACACCCTGTATAGAATATAAGGATTTCAGGAGTACAGGAATTTCTCCTGTGGGGGGGGCACAGTGGGGTATTAGGAGGGGGGAGGGGGGTTCAGCCAAAATGAGTCTATTCCATAACTTCTTATTTACGTCAAATAAGGCTTGGCCGCATAAGATTTTTTTTTTGCGAAAAGTCTCTAAGTTGTTTGAATGTTATGTTCTAGTTCAGAATTTCGACCGAAAACCCGCGTTTTCATTACAAACTCTTTAAATAGGATTGTTCAACACGCTACTCCTGACTAAATCCAGGTTTTGGCGTGCTGCCGACGCCCCTAAATATTTTCTATATGGCTTTAAAATATATGTTTTTCTTCCGAAATAGCTCGGTGTTACAAAGACGACATCTAAATATATTGCAGGTTTACAGGATCCATTCAAGGATAAATATATGAACGAGAAAAGTAATTATAAATGAAAAGATTATCAGAAAATATTCCTTGTTGTTAATTCTCACCATGAAACACAAGACAAATTCATTTTAAGAGAAGTATTGTGACAAAAACCAGTCACCCCCAACGACCCACTAAAATACCCCACCGTGCGTAGGGGGGGGTGGCTCCACAGTTGGCCGGCGTTGAACCTGAATACCCCCTGGAAATCTATATGATGTAGAATGGAATCTTTAAAAATCTGGATTGATTTATTAATTAAAATAATCTTCCCGTTCTTGTACAATTACAATTATATTACTCGCCATTGCATTAGGAGCAATAATGTGTTAAAGGGAAAGAAGAGGGATTGCATGTAATGTTGTAAATTCAACTGACCCTCCATGTAAAGAGGGAGTTGTCTGATTTTAGCTTCGAACTTGTGATATTAATGACGCGGGAGATATCGTCGTTTTCTCACTCAAATTATCTGATAATTCCTCAGTGTTTTTAACAGTATAAATTTTCAAATATTCTTTTGGAGGAAAAACAATAAAAATTATTAATTTAAGTCAGATGAAATTATGTTTTCTGTTACAGCAGGAGTACACTGTAGGCCAAAAAGCAAGTAAAAAGAAACAAAATTATAAGTTGTTTGTAATATTTCTAAGAAGATTATTACTAAATTTAGTATTTGTGGATTTAAAAAAAAATAATTGAAGATTAAGTTTATATGCCTAACATCTCCAAAGATAAAAAAATTGTTCTTATATTATGATGATTGCGCACTAATAAAAATATTTTTGAAATGTATTAAAATAAATATTTTTTAAAACAATGATAACTTTTTACAGATTTTGCCTTTAGTTTTGAGAGAACATTTTTATTTTGGACATTATTTTCTTGTGAAGGTATATAAATGATTTTCTGTATTTTACAGTGTTTGTTTTCAATTTTTCCCACGCGGAAAATAGAATAACGATTATTTTTCTGAATATAATAATTTTCAACAGATCAACTAGAAATATAATAATTTTCAACCGATCACCTAGAAATGTAATGATTTTCAATCGATCACCTAGAAATATAATGATTTTTAACCGATCACCTAGAAATATAATAATTTTCAACCGATCACCTAGAAATATAATGATTTTCAACCGATAACCTAGAAATATAATAATTTTTAACCGATCACCTAGAAATATATGATTTTCAACCGATAACCTAGAAATATAATAATTTTCAACCGATCACCTAGAAATATAATGACTTTAAACCGATCACCTAGAAATATAATAATTTTTAACCGATCACCTTGAAATATAATAATTTTTAACCGATCACCTAGAAATATAATGATTTTCAACCGATCACCTAGAAAAATAATAATTTTCAACCGATCACCTAGAAATATAATGATTTTCAACCGATCACCTAGAAAAATAATAATTTTCAACCGATCACCTAGAAATGTAATGACTTTCAACCGATCACCTAGAAATTTCGAAATTGAACTTGATTTCCTAAGCCTTTAAGTTTTTATTCCCAAAACTATTTAAATAGGAAAAGAAAATGGAAAAATTTTACAGTTAATAAAAAATTAAAAACAAATATGGATCCACTGGTTTGTGCATCCTTATAGAGTATGGGACCGAGACCTGGTTTAATCCAGGTTCAATATCCTACCGTCCCTACACCCACCCTGAGAAGGATGGAAACTTCAGAACTGCAAAACTAAAAGTGATTATCGTGTATGGAGATAAACAAACCAGATATACAATTCTTGTGCTGTTTGGAGTACCTGGAGAGCAACCATTAAATTCATAACTTTATTATTGAAATTTTAGATTTAGCAAAACTGAGATTCCATGTTAAATCTGAGTTTAGGTTTGAGGCTCCAGGTTGTATATAGAGGTTGGTTGGAGGTTGGGGAGATACTGAGCCTACTACTGGACTGTTCAAACCTGGAGGATACAAACTCATTCAGTAATTCTTATACTTGGTTCCTGTAATACTTTACATGGTTCCTTTACTAATATACTTGGTTCCTTAAATACTATACTTGGTTCCTGTAATACTATACTTGGTTCCTGTACTATTAGTTTTCAGGCCCCAACGGGCGCTGAGCCCCCTCATGGAAAAAAAATAAAATTTAAGCCCCCCCCCCTGGACAAATTCCTGAATGCAGCCGTGCTTGGTTCCTATACTTCTATACTTGGTTCCTATACTTCTATACTTGGTTCCTATACTTCTATACTTGGTTTCTTAACTTCTATACTTGGTTCCTATACTGCTAAACTTGGTTCCTTCACTACTCTACTTGGTTCCTTCACTACTCTGCTTGGTTCCTATAATTCTATACTTGGTTCCTATACTTCTATACTTGGTTTCTTCACTTCTTTACTTGGTTCCTTCAGTACTCTATTTGGTTCCTTCACTACTTTACTTGGTTCCGATACTACTAAAATTGGTTCCTTCACTACTCTACTAGGTTCCTATACTTCTATACTTGGTTTCTTCACTTCTATACATGGTTCCTATACTTCTAAACTTGGTTCCTTCACTACTCTACTTGGTTCCTATATGGCTAAACTTGGTTCCTTCACTACTCTACTTGGTTCCTATACTACTAAACTTGGTTCCTTCACTACTATACTTGGTTTCTATACTGCTATATTTGGTTTCTTTACTACTATACTTGGTTCCATTACTACTCTACTTGGTTCCTATACTGCTATTCTTGGTTTCTTTACTACTATGCTTGGTTTCTATACTTCTATACTTGGTTTCTTCACTACTCTACTTGGTTCCTATACTTTTATACTTGGTTCCTGCACTACTATACTAAATATCTTCTAAAATTATAATTAAATTTAAATTTCATTTTACTCCGAACTTTAGATAAATGTTTAAATGTTAGAAATAAATATTGAACTTACGTTCGAGAGAATTCAGGGTCACCAAAAAAGATTTCACTTTAGAGACGAATTTACGGAATATTTTCAGTCTTTTTTCCAACGTTAATGGTCCTCTATGTGCTTTAAAGATTTTGGTATATCAAACTACAATAATTGGTCTTTCAGAATTTACAGTTTGTTTTCCTTTGATGTTGAGATCTATCTATACCTATTTTTGTCACCCTTTTTGTCTATTTACCCCACCCCCTTAACCCACTTTTTGCCACCCACCGTTTCGTTCCCTGTCCTAGTTTATATCCCCCCCCCTCCCCTCCTCGTATCTTCTTTCCCTTATACAATACATGATGAGGCCTGGGCTATATAGATAATCAAATTATATTCCTGATCTACCATTTTCCTTTTCTTTTCTTTTATATTTTTCTTCAAAATAGTTTTAAGCTTCATTTTAGAGAAGCTTTTGCAGGAAACAAAGGAGCCTATCACCATATTACAGATTAAAACTTGAAGCCCTTAACTGAAATGAATAAATCCACAGAGTGTAAGAAAAAATGTATTTACAGCATAAAAAAAAAAAAATATTCGATTAGAAAATTATTAAAATCAAGACGAAGCTTTCAGCGGATCTTCCGCCTATCTTCCGCCTCATATGGCAGATCAACCTACTGATTCTACGTCGGGACTGCCGATCCATTCGGCCTGTCAAGGCAAAATCCTCTCCTTCCACGGGGTGGAGGGGGTGTTGGCCTACATCTTAAAATAGAAACTCAGGCCATGATATCGGCTTGGATTTGGAAACGCAGCTGGAACGTGATTTCTGGCGTGCCATTGTTCATTTCCAACTGACAAATCTTGCATACAACTGGGACTTAGCTTGGTTTTGGTTTATATATCTATTTATATAAAGTAGTAATCTCGGTTTGTCTATTTGTTTGTATGTCCGATCATAACTACGGAACCCCATTACCGATTTATAGAATATGGATAAGGAAACATTGTAAACCCACGGGAATGTGATAAACGGCATGAGCAACCATAACAAGGATTTATCTTGTCTATTTATCATATAAGGACGACAATATTTATTTCTCTGGAACAGGGTTACCCACCAGGATAAAACATCAAAGACGACTGAACAGAATTTATACTCTCTGTGTCTTTATATCAATGATTCCCCGCAAATGTAAATTTGTTCTTTTCCTGATTAAATAAAATCCAAAAAAAGATTCTATTCAAATCATTAGATTTAAAGAGTTTAGGTCGTCTTAACTGTCTCATCTTTTGTGGGTAACCCTATATATATATTCCATATTTACAATCGCTTTTGTCGTCTCATCTATATTTATATACTTGTCAACCATTAACATTAAGACCCCCCCCCTTCTATGTAATGTCGTCTTCAACTTAAATGCTCCTCTCGGAGACGAGAATCCAAACCAAACAATTTCAGCCCGCTTTTCTTCTTTGTTCTCCGATAACGGAGTATAAACGTTTATCAATTGTGAACCATTTCAAAGTTAAACAAGAATATTTCTATTTAAAGAGTTAGTGACTTTCATCAACATTTAATTGTTAATCTTTTCAGAAGAGGAAATAAAGAGTTTTCTGCATTATCGATTTTGATTTGTGGGTTATACCTTGTCTATCTGTTCATCGTTAGAATCTTGTTCCTTAGCGACAACAATACTATATAAGCCCCGTTTTCTAATGTTAGAGGCTTATATATTATTGGTGTTTATGTGTTTTTGTTGGGTTACATTTTCAAAATTAAGTATTTAGTATAAAATTTGATAGTCAGTTTTGTTAAACTTTTATCCGTGATTAAATTAAACTAAAATTAAATTAAAAAGTGTTCATAAAGTTAAAAACTAATTGCGCAATCGACATACAATTTGAAAAATACAATACATTAGAGTTTAATTGATAAAAGTGGACTCCTATGTAAAGATTATCAGCTTTTAAAGTTCTTGTTACTGGATGAAAATATAGGTAAGTGTACGCCAAAGAAGTCTTAAATAGCTAATTTTCCATTGCGTGTCAAAGTCTAATTTGTACCATAGTGTTGACTTAAAGATTATTCAATAAACATTTGTTTTATTTCTAAGGAGTAAAAAATAACATTATTAAAAATCAACTATTTGCATTGAATAAAAATTTTACAAATGCGGGAAATATTTTTTCAAAATCCTCGAAAGTACATTTTAACGATTCTAAAAATGTGTAAATTTTCTGTTTTGATTCTTCATTTATCTACGCTTGCCGTGGCCGGAGGAATAACCATGCATTCAATATTTGCAGTGCTTTTTAAAGTATACAAGAGTAAAGAAATCTTTGAAGCTCTACATTTACAGGTATTCGAAAATTATAAAATAGTTTTTATCGTAGTGTTCAAAAACAAACACTGGCGCAAGTAGGGGGGGGGGGGGCCAACCGAGTTTCGTCCCCCCTCAGCAAATTTTGCCCCCTCTTCTCCCCCTCACACTTGACTCCAGCATGATGATCATGATTGTGGACCATCTTTTATCAAATTTTGTCAATGAAGAAAAACAAACCAACATTTTTCTTTGGCGCTTCGCGCATAATTTCTGATAGAATTTTTACTATTTTCTCGTTTTTGACTTAAGGAAAGTCTAGTCATTCTTAATTAATCGTCTCTAAAAACCTGTACATATGTTATAACAACAAGAAATATAATAAGGATTATATTAAACTATTAGAACTTTTGCAGACTATAAGAGGAAAACAGGGTAAGCCCGTTACTGGCAATCAGAAAGACTATAATGTCTTGACAGAAGAAATATATCGTCAATTACTGCCAGGAACTACTTAATACTTAGGACTGCACAGACCTACGATTAAGAGAGTATACATAGTATAGTATAGTGTAAAGTGGACTAATATAAAATTGCTGTAGACTGTACTAGGGGACTTTATATACATAGTGACTCTCTATGAATATGATGCTCCATGGACTATACAGAGTTTTCTATGAATATTGATACTCCATGAACTATAAAGAGTTTTCTATGAATATTGATACTCCATGAACTATANCTGCACAGGCCTATGATTAAGGGACTATATATAGTATAGTATAGTGTAAAGTGGACAAATATGACTAGTGGATGAATTACACAAAAATTGCTGTAGACTGTGATAGGGGACTTTATATACAGAGCGTTCCATCATATTAGATTATCTCCAATCTTTAGCGTCAAAATACGCACATGATACTCGAGAAATCTAGCATTTTCTGCAAAAAAATGTCTATTAGCCTTATTAAATTTTTTTAAATGATTCATTCTTCTTAAATTTTCTAATTTGTCCCCCAAATCGTAATTTAGACCCTTTGACGCGGTCTAATTTGATGTGGGACACCCTACATACTGAAGCCAGTGACTACTAAGAAATACATAAAAAGACACTAAAAGAACCGAATTCTTTGGCGCTTCGCGCACACGTTTAATTTACTTGTGTCATTCATTTCAAAGCTGTTGAAAGAAAATTTTGTTGAACATAAGAACAAGCCATGGATTTTATAAAAATATAAAGTAAGCACTGAGCCAACCCTTCAACAATTAAAGAATGCTGTTTTTTTTACTTCAAATCCTGAAATTGCAGCGGTTTTTTGAAAAAATTTCGGCAAGGGCTGTACCCCCTACCCCAGCCCCTCAAAATTTCATTTCGCAACCCCCTCACAAAAGTGCTAGTTGCGCCACTGTTTTTCTTAGATAGCTATTGAGGTAACGCGGCCTATTTATTCCCAAATTAAGTGCCCATATTGGATATCGTGATCAAGTGTTCAAGATTAACGATAAAAGTTTCATTATTTTTTGGTCCCCACTTGGTCTTGATTAGTTGAAAATAATTAGCCTCGACCGTGTGGTTTGTAGTTAATTTTAATACTGTGTTACACAATCAAGGTAGGACACAATAATGTGTACTGCAAATACACAATATCAAGATAGGACAAAATACTGTGTACTGCAAATACACAATCAAGGTAGGGCACAATAATGTGTACTGCAAATACACAATATCAGGATAGGACACAATAATGTGTACTGCAAATACACAATCAAGGTAGGGCACAGTAATGTGTACTGCAAATACACAATATCAAGGTAGGACACAATAATATGTACTGCAAATACTAGAGATGTGAACGATAGTGTAACGTAACGTAAAATGTACGTTTTTGTACGTTACGTTACAATAATGTGTAACGTTTGGATATATTCTATATAACGTGAACGTTAAACGTTAACGTTATAGGAGCTATGGAAGGTATTTAGTTATCTTTTCATTTACAGTGCTTTATTTAGCATACATTTATAAATTTGCAAAACTTTCAGTATCTGAACATTTTTGAAATACCTTACTCAAAGTTTTTAAGGATTTTAAAAGATATAATAAAATATTTCCTTTATTAGAAATTACAATTTAGGCGTGTTAAATCTCTTAAATATATAGTGTAATCACGCGAAATTAAGGGTTCTAAGGGTTAAGGGTTCTAAATCATGAAATTATGGCTGTCATGTGTAAGGGTCACTTATAAACACTCTAAACCAGTACTGCCTTCAGATAGATACAACCATTTGTCTAAACATAGGAAACAGTCACTTTATTTTTAAAAATTAATAAAAATTAGAAAATTGTTTCTTTATAATAGTAATCGCATTTTTTTAAACTCACCAAATCTGAACTTAAAACCTATTTAAACAGTTTTTTCATTTATTCTAAAAAGTATACATTTTTAAAATGTAAAATCTCAACATAATTTTAAAGATATGTAAAGTAAAAAATTTGACAAAATAAGATTTTACGTTGAATTAAGTCCCTTTTGTACAATGTTTGGAAACCTGAAAACCAAGCAATGTCCCTTAAGTTTTGAGGACCTTTCATAAAACAATCTGTTAGGTTAAAGTTACAAAACAATTGTTTTTTACAAATATTTATACATATTTTTACTAACAAACAGACAAGCCAAATTTATATATATACTAGCCTTAGTATTTTTACTAAATAAGTTGCTTCTTTTATATATTTATTATTCACACCTTTTATGTTTACTTTATATTTCGTTAATCTTTTTATTAACAATGAAAGCGTTGAATGCTTCGTGAAAGTTAGGACGTAGTTTGTTTTGGCAACAAAGAGGATTTTACTGGTTATTTCTAGTTACTAGCCTTATAGGGCGCTTCGCGCCCATCTTCTAAATTAATTGTGAACATGTTGTCTTTGTGTACATCGTAAAACAAAACAAAAATAATTCGCGGATTTTCACAAAAAATTTCGAACGATCGAATTTTGATGGAGACAAATATTTAAAATTTCAATCATTCATAAACCTTCCCTGGGGTCCCTAGATGTCCCACAAAAAATTTGGGCCCGATCGGTTCAGCCGTTTTGACGTTTATTGGATACAAACAGACAAACAGACAGACAAACAGACAGACAAACAGACAGACAAACAGACAAGCCAAATTTAAATATAGATATTATTAAGCACAAAGCCAACCCTTCAACAATTAAAAAATGCTGTTTTTTACTTCAAATCCTGAAATTGCAGCGGTTTTTTTTGAAAAAATTTTCGACGATATTTCTTCTATTTAGCTGAAGGGTTATTTGTTATTGGTTACATTAAATCTAGTTTCTGGGCAACCTTAAATGCGTCATGGTGGAATGTGTGTGAACTAGTTATTTCTTCTTCCTGACTGTTTTAACAGATCTATCGCCATCTTTTCGTTTCTTAGTTAGAGTTGTTGATCATTATTAAAAACAATCGAAAAAACGATAGTTTTTCTTTTCTTTTTTCTAAAAATAATCGTTTCGTTTTTAGAAAAAAACATGGGTAACTAACAAACTATTCGTTTTTAAACTTTTAAAAAACGAACAACTAAACAATGATACGATCGGTTTTCGCTAACCGTTTTTTTTTATAGAGGGAAGTGACTTTAATGTTTTCTGACCTGAGGTTTTTCTGATCTAAGGGTTTTCCATCCAAGGGTCTTCGTTTACATTAGTTAAGGAAGGGTCTTCGTTAGCGGTCGTTAACGATCATGAACGATCGAAAAAAATAAAAACGTTAACAAAACGGGGAGCTAAAACAAGCAAAGACCTCCTTGTTTTTCAATTTAAAAAACCCATATTTTTCAAAAGCAATCGTTTTTCGTTTTTTACGTCGTTAACAAACCGATCGTTTTTCGTTTTACAAAAAAGTGAAAACAATCCATCATCTTGGTAACTTTATATATCTGAACAACTTTAGTTTAACCATTACAACACAAAGAATAGGAGTTATAGCCAAACAATTATGTCTTTATAATTTTCTTGAAAATTGACGTTTATAAACACAAAACGGAGATCTATTCGATTATAAAATATTGCCTTATATCTATAACTTTATGAGATTGCTAGAAAATATAAGTAATTTAGTTGATGTCTGATGTTTTAAACCTAGTTGGAGGATTGATAATGCTTTGTGCCACATTTACCAGAAACAGAATACTATGCAAGGTGATACATATATGATATTAAATATGAATACTTTCATCAAAATAGTTTTAGCCATATTTCAAAATAAAATTATTACAATATGACACTATGACTCTATGATGCTATGTACTATAATACTGTAGGTTGGACTTGTATTCTGTTTTCTAATGGTATTCATCTCTTCTACATGGTTAGCCTACTTCTTACTTAACTTCTCCTGGGATACTACTCCAACAACAGTAAGCTTCAATGTCGTCTTTCCTCTAAGGACAAATGATAACACCGTTATAGTAGTTTGGATATAAGTAAAGAAATCCATTCGTCTTTGCCGTTAATTTACAAATAGATCTCTGATTGGATTATAAGAATTGAATAGACAGATAGATAGATAGATCTTGCCGCGTTTGCTATTCTATTAGTCCTGAGCTCTCACTAAGCACTAGAGTAAACTCTGATTGGATCAGAGACCATAACTGGACGTGTTAAACAAGTTCTGCCATTAGTTACTGCAAGATTTTCGTCATGTTTAATGAGATCCCATTAGGGTACGGGAGCAAACTGTGTGTCCAATGTTCAATGTTGGTGTCAACCATTAACATTAAGACCCCCCCCCCCCCCAATGTAATGTCGTCTTCAACCTAAAAGCTCCTCTCGGAGACGAGAAACCAAACCAAACTATTTCAGCCCGCTTCTCTTTGTTCTCCGACAACGGAGTATAAACACTTTTATTAATTGTGAACCACTTCAAAATTAAGCAAAGAATATTTTCATATAAAGAATTAGTGACTTTCCTTAACATTTAATTGGCACTCTTTTCAGAAGTTTTAATGTATAATAAAGCGTCATAGGACTCCCCGACAGTTTAACCCACAAATACTCTAATAGATCGTAAGAATCTTTTCATTATAAATTCGTAAACCATTGTAATAATTATTTATCATTATTCATTTCATTTTTTTTTAGGAAATAAAGAGTTTTCTGCATTATCGATTTTGATTTGAGGGTTATTCCTTTGTCTATCTGTTCATCGTCAGAATCTTGTTCCTTTGCGACAACAGTTGTGTTTATTGCTCAGTGGACTACTTGATTACATAATTTGAGCCGAACAGTTTTTTTCCTAGTTTGCACAGTGTGAATGGTACGTCCCATTCTATAATTTATATTTGTATTTCTCTAGACATCTGCAGTACTAAGTCTGTTGTCTCATCTGGACGTTGTTTGTGAAAATAAATGGGTTGTGGTAAGTATATTGTATATACACAAACCCTTTAAAATTAACTATCATTTATATTTATATTTGCACAGGGTTACCCATAAAGAATGAGAGATGAGTGTGCGAAATATATCAAGTCTTTTTTCTAACACTTTCGGTTCCATGCAACAATAAACTTATATCGTTAAACCTATTTTATGATTAAAAGAATATATTTAAGACAACAAACCTAATTTAAAGCTCATGTTGTTGAATTTAAAGTGTTTTAGGTCGTCATTGAAGTCTCATCTTTTGTGGGTAATTCTGTATCATAAACTTCTCATTATTTTCATTATCCCCGCCCCCTTTGGGACACGGAGTTGCCTATATTGTATTTACATCAATACCATGTAAAATGTAATGCAAATCAAGATGTGGACGCTCTCACGCAAAAGTCGAACAGTATTTTGCCAATTACGCCTTTTGTATTTAAGATAGAAACAAGGTTGTTGCAGTGTATATATCTAGGGCTACAAACATGTTCAAGTGAGTTGGTATTAAGGTAAAACCAAAGGTCAGGACATTACACTTGCAACACTTTAAAGTCGAGAGTGTCTACAAATTTGATGAATAACTTTCAGAGTTGTCCAGATTTTAGTGCTGAGAGCTTGAGCTATTTACTTTTCTTTCCTCTCAGAAACTACAGTAAACAAGCTCCTCCGGTGTATCTTTCTTGGAAAAATAAAATGAAACCCAAAATAATCAAATTTCAGAGTGAAATAATTTCAAAAATCACCAATCTACACAATTTGTAACAATATTAACGAAGAAGATTGAGAGAGTATTTTGGTATAAAGTTTTGGTATAGAGGAAAAAAGAACCAATTAGATACTTTGTAACATTATATTTTGGTAATTTATTTACTTTGTATTGTAAACAACTGGTCTTTTAGTAATAGAGATAGTATAATATTAGTTTTAGCAACCTTAACAAATTGGACTATGAACATGTTTTGCAACTTGCAAGTTGCAACTAGCATTATACCTTTCACCCCCCCCCCCATCCCAGCTTTTATAGTATTATTAAAAACCTTATAATGATTGAAGTAATTGTGATAAGTTGCTAGTGTTTCGAGATCGCACTTGAGTAGTTCAACTAGCCAACCTTAGTTCAGCTACTTCTCATTATTAAATGCTATCCTAGGAAACCATTTATTTCTTTAGAATATTGTTCTGAGCTGTCTAGATGTTCTTATCTCAACAAAAGCTTTAGTTTTCATGTTTCTCGTCGTAAAAAATAGAAAATCTCATCAGGTAATATTTTTTTATAGAAACTAGATTATTTGTGCAAATTGTAAATTCATTTTTATGTTTTTAACGTTCATGACAGTCTTTGAAAAGATTTATATTAATCCAACCTAAATTACTAGAGTACAGAATCCTTTCAACTTCATAATAATACAGTCTTTAGAATTCATTCATTTAAATATTTTTCAGAACAGACTTTATCTGACTTTTCTGGAATCTTTCTCATAAAGTTAACGGAAAAAAGTATATCTGCAGAAAAGCCTTTATAATAAAAATACCAGCAGAAAACAGTTGGAAAGCCACTGCACTGATGACTATGGGAAAACTTAAAAAATACTTGAAAATACTTTAATTTGATTAAGACTTTATGGTACGGTACTAATCCTTTTGGAACTTTTTAAACTTTTTTACAATATTTTTCTAAGGAATTAATTTGTTGTATTTCTCTACTGTTCTCCCAGTTTGGAAGGAAAATTGAAAACATATCAGTGTTTGCCCAACACAGTAAATTCTCCTTTGTTTTGAAACTAATCTCTAGAGAAATATATTTTACTGTTAGATATATTATTAACTCAACCCACAACGCAACAGGGTTACCCACAAAGGATGTGACTTCATAGACGACAGTACGGAATTTATACTGTCAGTTTCCTAATTCAAACCTTATTCAAATCATCAAAAAATGACAATAGTCAAGGCACAACCCTTAATTCAACCTTGGAATCGTCATATCTAAAGAATTTCACGCCGTTTTTACAGTCTTATTCTTTTGTAGGTAACCCAGTATTTACTTTTAACTTAATTGAATTGATTTTTTAAAGAAACAAACTATGCATCGCTAGGATGGTTTGAGCTGGTATCTTAAAATAACAAAAAAATTCTAAAGACTATATTAGAATATGCAAATTGCCTTACTTAATTCCTGGAGCTGGTTTTCCTAGCCTGGGTTTCAATCAGGAGAATAACCTGTCTAAAATTACGGGCTCAGTACTTCAAGTGTTAGCTCAACCTATAGTATAAACACATATTTTATTCTGAACCGGGATCGAGTTGAATGATTTTGAGCTAGGTCGCTGAACTACTTATCTGCAGTGCTGCATCTAAACATATGGAAAAAATCTTGAATCACCGATTCAAGACACGTGGTTGAATTACCTTTATGTAAACCTAGCTCAAATTTATTTAATCTGGTCCCAGATAAACTGTATGATAGAAGAAGAATTTAGAAAATATTCTTCTAATTCGAGAAGACCTCTTTAATAATCATTAACCATGATACATGTAAGCTCAATACTAATAATGAAATAATCTTTCTAAATAAATATAAATCTCTCACAGACAAATATCAGAATTTTCATTAGGATCATATTTTCGCAATTCCAAGTAAAAAGTGCAAATCTTTGAGGGGAGGGGGGGGGGGCGGTGCCTCGTTTCATATATTCTAATTTCCCGGTAGTAAAGTAACTTAAAATTGTACTTTAAGACGGATATTTTAACATCAATTTATCTAAATTACAAAATGTAAATTCTATGATAAATTTTTTGTAAATATAATATTGCAAAAATCAAATAAGCTTATTTTTACAGCATTAGCAACTTAATTCATTAAAAAAATAATAAATATTTTCAAAATATTTCTGAAACTGGAAATAACAAAACTTAATTTTTTAGACTTTACGTACTTCTAACCATTAATTGTTCATGCATGTAAACGCTATCGAAATATTAGAAAATGCTGCTTTTCTGAGAAATAGTGAACTCTATACATTTTATACTAAAACACTTAAAGTCTTTAGTGTCTTTAGTGTCTTTAGTATACCTAGTGTTGCTAATCTTTAATTGATTCGGTTTTTGTTGCATATTTCTCTATTCTCAGGGTTAAAGTTGGCCATTTTTTTCTAGGACAAGAATATTGTAAAGTTTGATAAAAGAAAACATTTACAGAATACAGTTTTTACATAATACAGTTTTATAAAAAGTTTTTAAAACGAATGAAAACGATTCAGTACACTAACTGTGCACCCCGACAATCAGGAAGATAAAATATTGTCCATTGTACACTAGCTTGATAGTAGACAGTTGTCAGCCCTGTACAGTGTTATATACTTTACAGGGTTAGAGATATTTACTCGAGTCTGTCCATTGATAAATACCCATATTCCATACTGCCATGCACTAAATAATGTTGAAGGGTACAAAACTTGCATTCTTGAATATTGACAGGAATGGTTAAATAATGACAACTATACAATTACACAAGCCCAAAAATCAATGTCAGGTATGTAACTCCCTAAACCTGGGTTTCTACAAAAGGAATTGAGGCCTTGTCACAAACCAGATTTTCGAATCCCTATATTTTTGCAAACCCAATGTCGTAGGCCTTAAATATTTCAAACTAAGAATTCTGTTAGATCAAATAATCTAAGTTTAAAATATCAAAGGTTTACATCATCAGGATGCAAAGATATAAAAGATTTGAGTTTGTGGCGAAGACTCAATTCCTATCTGAGCTAGAGAGCAACAGATACCAAACCTGTAGGCTGTAATGCAGTATATTTTCACGTCATACAAAGTGTGTCTCACTTACCTGACAATTTATAGATAATGCTTTATTTCATACTAGCTTGGGAATTCAGATTTGGCTAGAAATTGAACTTTCTCACTTAAAGTCAATAAAATCAATAATTTTAAAACCAAGCATTAAACATTCCTGTAGTTCTACTGAATTTCTAAATCAAAATTTGAGGAAAATCAGTCCAGGGGTTCCTGAGGTTTATTTAATTATGTAATGCACATTACACATTCACTATTATACTTTAAATTGTTATGTTTAGTGGGACACCCTGTATCTAAGTTTAAATTAACAAGCAAGTTTTTATCTTATTTTTGTTTAGGATTTGGTTTACTGGTCGTACAAGGACAGCCAACTGTATATTTAATATTTAATAAATTCTAATGATAAACTCTTCATTATTCTATTTGAGAACTAAGAACAAAGGTTTAGTTTGAAAATTTACAGCAATTTGGGCCCGATCGGTTCAGCCGTTTTGACGTTTAACGGCCATATACAGATGTTGATAAATTATAAACCTAGCCGGTAAGGACTGGTCTATAATGTATATATATTATAACTAATCATGGTAAAAAGGAAACTAATAAAATAGTAACTAGGAGTAAAGATAATGAGAAAGATATTACTGAGAAATATATAATTATTATTGATTAAAAAACTATATATCTACAATCATATAGATATATCTAAACATTTTCTCATCAAAATAAAAACTATTGGTCTTTACAGGAACTGAACTGTTCATTTTCAGTAAAAAAAGGGGGTAACGAGCTACTCAACGGCCTTTTCGTTCATGTAACTACCGCAGGTGCATCAGAATAATTGATTTATATGTCAGGCTCAGGGATATCTATTAACTTTTAATATATTTATTAGTTTTTGAATAACTATGCATCAGCTATATGTCAAAATCAGTCGTAAAAATATTCTAATGCAAAAATGTTGGTTTTGCCTCTATTTTTTTAATTTTTTAATGATTTTTTACGACTTTACCGTAGTTCAACGTGGATTTTTATGAAGAAAAAAAGACAGGCTTTCATTAATGAATTTATCTTAACAAAAACGTATTGTGCTGAATGAATTTGAAAGGGGAAAATCAATAATTTTACGTTATTATAAGAAACTTTTAAAATGCGTGATGAAAGGATCTGAACATTTTGTCGAGAAAGGGCCAAATAGTCTTACAATAATTATAAGTACACTTGTTGATATATTTTTTTTAAACATCATATCAATTCTAGTCTTTTTTAATGAAAAATACATTTTAAGAAGTTTTTTGAATTGTTTCACATTTCAGGGTTTGTGTAGTGTGCTGAGATTTAAAATGAAAAATTGAATAATATTGCGTAGTCTGTTAGTAATAAATAGCTAGGTCTAGAAAGCCAGATTAAATTGACCTGGAAATTAATAAAATAAAAAGATTGTAAAAACATGAATTATTGAACAAATTTTTTACAATTGGTTGAGTTATGAACCCAGCTAAACAATTGAGGGCGCAACGTACACCTCTTTTAAGTGTGGTGTTTTCTTATAAATGTGCAGTGGCCCCTCCCCCCCCCCCTCCTAACCTGGAATAGTATGTTCACGGAGGGTTGCTATTTTTAAAAAGGGGAGGGGGGGGGGTAGAAAAACAAGGAGTAGATGGTCCCTAAACTGCTATTTTTTCTACTTATTCGCAAAATATGAAATAGTATTACTACTTTTCATAATGAACAGAATTTTAATGCTGAACAATCAGGCCTAGACTTAGAGCCAAGCCAGGTCCCACACAATTTAAGTAAATGTTCATTTGCTGTATTTTCACTTTTCAGAATATTTATTATTTAATATTTATTACTGATAAACATGATAATTGTTTGATAATGAGTTTAGTTTTTGCTTATGTTTTCTTATCTTTAAAGCTTTTATGTGACGTCATTCCTCCTTCACACTCATCCTCCGTCTTCATTCTTTCTTCCACTCTTCCTCCGTCTTCATTCCTCCTTCACACTCATCCTCCGTCTTCATTCTTTCTTCCACTCTTCCTCCGTCTTCATTCCTCCTTCACACTCTTCCTCCGTCTTCATATACTCTTCCTCCGTCTTCATTCCTCCTTCACACTCATCCTCCGTCTTCAGTCCTCCTTCACACTCTTCCTCCACCTTCATTCCTCCTTCATACTCTTCCTCCGTCTTCATTCCTCCTTCACACTCATCCTCCGTCTTCATTCCTAAATCACACTCTTCCTCTGTCTTCATTCCTCCTTCACACTCTTCCTCCGTCTTCATTCCTCCTTCACACTCTTCCTCTGTCTTCATTCCTCCGTCATACTCTTCCTCCGTCTTCATTCCTCCTTCACACTCTTCCTCCATCTTCATTCCTCCTTCACATTCTTCCTCTGTCTTCATTCCTCCTTCACACTCATCCTCCGTCTTCATTCCTCCTTACACTCTTCCTCCGTCTGCATTTCTCCTTCACACTCATCCTCCGTCTTTATTCCTCCTTCACACTCTTCCTCCGTCTTCATTCCTCCTTCACACAATTCCTCCGTCTTCATTCCTCCTTCATACTCTTCCTCCGTCTTCATTCCTCCTTCACACTCTTCCTCCGTCTTCATTCCTCCCTACTTCTACTAATTTTTCTCTTCTATTCCTCCCTACTCCTCCTAATCCTTCTCTTATATTCCTCCCTACTCATCCTTATCCTTCTCTTTTATTTCTTCCTACTCCTCCTATTCTTCCTCTTCTATTCCTACCTACTCCTAGTAACCCATCTCTTATATCCTTCTCTTATATTCCTCCCTACTCCTCCTAATCCTTCTTTTCTAGTCCTCCCTACTCCTACTAATCCTTCTCTAATATTCCTTCCTACTCCTCCTAATCCTTTTCTTCTTGTCCTCCCTTCTCCTACTATTCATATCCTTATATTCCTCCCTACTCCTCCTAATCCTTCTCTCATATTCCTCCCTACTCCTCCTAATCCTTCTCTAATATTCCTCCCTACTCCTCCTCATCCTTTTCTTTTATTCTTCCCTACTCCTTCTATTCATATCCTTTTATTCCTCCATACTCCTTCTCTGTCTCCCCTGTTAGCATTTATTCTTCTCTCCCCTGTAAAACATATTTGTCGACTCATGCCTAAGTTGTTTGAGAACTTTGAGCTCCGTCATTGATATCCCAGTCTTTAGCCTATACCCTGATACTATAGACCTTCTCCCCTATACAAACATTATAAGATAACCTTCTTTAAGTTGATGAAAGTGAACTTTTTTTAAATTATACATATATAAAATATTAGTGGACTGACCATTATTAGAAATTAGGCATTTTCTAGAGTTATCACTGCGATATTTATAGTTCATATTCAAATTTAAATTTAAAGAAAAAGAGCCAGTTCTTGCATTATACGTTGTCAGGTGTTTATAGTTTTAAGCATGACTAACAGTACAAAATACGCAGTACAAATATAATGTGCGCAATGGTAAATTATTAAGAATTAAGTGTATTACCTTTTTATTTTTGTACATTGTTGATGTCAGACTTTCGAAAAAGTTTTATTGATATATCCAAACCAAATAATTTCCGATCAGATAAAAAAATGGCGGCTCTGGCGGGAGATCTGAGCCGAGTTATTCTTGGTCAAAGTGATGCTGCCAAAGCTTTCAGGTGAGAAGTAAACCTTGTAGAGTGACATGTTTCATTACAACGGTACTCTTTAAACCTTAGTCTTATCAAGGATGAATAAGACATCCGTTTTGGTTTGGCTAAAATTTCTTTATTTTTGATTGTGGTTTCTTCATAAAAGTGACTTGCACATTTATGTTTTAGAGTAAGTTCACAAATTTTAAATAAATACTTTTGACCATGGTGGTAGGCGATTATATCAATACATTGAAGACGACTTTCGATTTCAATTCAGATTTATATCAAGCTGTTAAACAGCATGGATAAATACATATTTAGTATTGGTACAGGAATGGAATTTTTTTCTTATCCCAATATCTTTGCAGTCTGATGGTTTAAATCTTTTATCTTTTCAATTTTGGTATATTTTTTAAAAAATTCAATAAAGTTCTCTCTTTCTCATAATAATTCGCAAAATGGTAACTTACATTATTTCTTTTAATTTTCATTTTTAGAAATCAGAATGTTTTTTTATTGGAACATAGAGTTATTTTGTTCAGATTACATTAAGTAAGAACCATTTAAGAATAATTATCAGTTTTTACAATTTTGATTCTTGTATTGAATTGATTCTTAATCGCTAAATAATTATCCGTCTACAGTTAGTAAATTTAATTGGTTTTATTCGAGCAAATATTATTGATTGTTGGACCGAATGGGCTGAAATTTGTTGTGAACACTCATGGGTGGCCGAGGGGTGTTAAAGGATAAAAAAATCGATTTTTAAAAAACAAATTTTGTTTTTTGTTTTTTATATTTAAAAAAAATACAATTTTTTTTCCACGGGCAACTTAGTACCTAATATTTCCCGTTGTAGGGTGATTAAGTTACTGTATCACCCTACAAAAAGATGATAAAGTAACTTTATTGACCTGCGAAGTTGAGTAAAATTGAATTAAACTATTTGTATTTTTTTCTGGGATTTTTACTTTTTCTAGTTTGTTTTCGATCAAAATAAAAGTATTTACACACCTCACTACGTTGGTTTTCAAAACACTTTCATTTTGATCTTAAACAAACTTTTTAAAAAAAATAAAAAATTCCGGCAAAAACTTCTTTGCACTTAATAAAACCCATGACAATAACATAAATAGATATATCTTTTTTAAGGAATTTCAACTTTAATAAATTCACCCTGTACTTTTTAAAAGGTTAAACAAATGTATCAAAGTCAAGTATTTGAATTCGCTCACATTACCACAAACAAAGTATGTAAATATTGAAATGCGGGTTTTTTAGAAATACAAAATAGAAGGCGCTGGGAAGGGGGGGGGGGGTTAGAGGCATTTTTTAAATTAAATTAAATCTTTTTTAAATGGCAGTTTGGATACATATTGCATTAACATTTAAACTTATAATTGTTTACTTGAACCTATTTTACTATTTTTGTATCTAATATTTTAGACCCTGGTGGGATTATCTAGAGGACTATCTCATGTATTCTTTCGTATTAATGAGTAAGAACATTTTTTATCTTATTGTCATTCATTTTATACCATTTTATTTTAAGGTGACTTAACATTCATTCATATTCTTTAGATCTTTCGTTTTTTTAGATATGACTGCTGAAATTCAGTAAGTTTTAAACATTTATTCGTCTAATGATAAAAACTGCAAAAAAGTACAATAAATTACATGTTAAACATTTATAGCAACTAAGATATGAAAGAGTTTGTGTTATATAGAATGGTTTAAAATATCATAGAGTAGACTTTAGCAAACTTAGATCTGAAAGAGTTTGCTTGGTTCTTGGCAATGAATTATATATAAACAATGAGAAATAAAATTGAAGATTGATAATAATAAAACTTATTAACATTAGTCCACAAAATTAGAGGAACATTTGAACATTGTTAAATCGTATTGAGTATTGTAAATTTGTATAATGTAAGACAAAGATAATAGCTAGCACAGTTAGCACATAAAGGTCTTTAAGTGTCATTACTGTTATTGTTTTTATTTATATAATTTTCTTGGTCTCATTGTTATTAATATTATCAAAATTATTGCAGAAACCTCCATTTCTAAACATAATGAGCATAATTTACTATTTATAAAATTTATTCTAAAGAAAGGTTTTAAACAAAGTGGAGAATGATAAATTGGTTGCAACCCTGCTAAATTATTTATTCATGCCTTTCTTATACCTTCTTTCTTACCCTTCTCTCTCCCCCCCCCCCTCATCATCACTCTCCCTTCATCCCTTTTTTCCTTCCCTCGATATTCTTTCTCCTCCCCCTCATTATCCCTCTTTTACTCTCCCCATCATCTTTTTTCTCCTTCCCTCAATATTCTTTCCCTCTTCTTATTAATTATTCCATACTTCCCTCACTATCCCTTCCTCCCTTCCCTCATAACCTCAAGCTTCTCCACCTCAAGCTTCTCCACCTTAACCTTCTCCACCTTAACCTTCTCCACCTCAACCTTCTCCACCTCAACCTTCTCTACCTTAACCTTCTCCACCTCAACCTTCTCCACCTTAACCTTATCCACCTCAACCTCCTCCACCTTAACCTTCTCCACCTCAACCTTCTCCACCCTAACCTTATCCACCTCAACCTCCTCCACCTTAACCTTCTTCACCTCAACCTTCTCCACTCTAACCTTCTCCTCCCTAACCTTCTCCACCTCAACCTTATCCACCTCAACCTTATCCACCTCAACCTTATCCACCTCAACCTTTTCCACCCTAACCTTATCCACCTCAACCTCCTCCACCTTAACCTTCTCCACCTTAACCTTTCTCCACCTCAACCTTCTCCACCTCAACCTTCTCCACCATAAGCTTTCTCCAACTCAACCTTCTCCACCTCAACCTTCTCCACCTCAACCTTCTCCACCTCAAACTTCTCCACCTCAACCTTCTCCACCTCAACCTTCTAAGGAAGGGGAAATGGGGAGGGGGGAAAGTTTGATGGCAGATAGAGAGGAAAGAGGGTTATATTTTTTTTAATTGCAAGCAGAAAAATTGTATTTAATGTTTCTCCTTTTAATAATTCATTACCTATCAGCAATACACTAAATTTCTGTATATTATCTGTATCAACTCTGTATCATATCTGTATCATATCTGTATCATATCTGTATCATATCTGTATCATATCTGTATCATATCTGTATCATAACATAAATAATAATAAAAGGAAGAAAATGCATGATTTAGTTTAAACTGGACAGGGACAAATTGCTTTAGCTTTCATTGCTTAGCGGCTCAAAATCCCCCCCCCCTCTTTTGGCAAAAATTTGTATGTGACAATACGCTTTTTTGTGGTCACATTTTAGGATAGAATAGCAAAGGAGTGTTTAATTTTTTTCCTTTACTTTACAAAAAGTTCAGTGTGTTGGAAAGAACTGGGCTTAAATCAAGTGTAAAGGAAAAAAGATTTAAATAAAAAAGAACTGGAGAGCATTTGAGGTTTTACATTTTTTTAAAAATAATAACAATGTTTAAAAAGGACAATATAGAAAAAGACTTGTAAAGCTGAAATAAGAAAAGGATACTTTTTAAGAATAGCATTATTTTTGATTATATAATTCTAATTCTAATTTATCAAGAAAAAGCCAAGACAATGTTTAAAAAGTAAAAGAGATATTAAACATGGAAATTTCTACAACGTAAAAATGTTAAAATGAAACTTTTAGATTTATAAATGTTAATAATGATTCTTCCGTTATCTTTTTTGCTTTAATTATAGAAAAGGTATAAAAAAAGGAAAACAAAATGTTTTAGATGATGAAAAACTCAAAAAACCTTTTTTCAACGGAGACATTTATTTTGATGTATTGCTGTTTGCTGTATATAATAAAGGTCTTATTTCACAAAAGGGGGAAGGTATGGAAAGGGAGGGGAAAAGAGGGGAAGGATATCATATCTGTATCATATCTGTATCATATCTGTATCATATCTGTATCATATCTGTATCATATCTGTATCATATCTGTATCATATCTGTATCATAACATAAATAATAATAAATGAATATTAAGGTTTGGTGACCCTACCAATGACGTTTCTGTCTGGTAACCCTGTAGACTGTGCTATACATAGTCAATACTGGTACAATGATACAGGAAAAGTGCCGCAGTACACTCGATACATTCAGGTAAAGTACAGTACACTTGATACTTACACTAGATACATTCAGGTACAGTATAGTACACTCGATACATTCGGGTACAGTACAGTACATTAGATGCATTCAGGTATAGTACGTACAGTACAGTAGATGTATTCAGGTACAGTACAATGCACTATATACAGTACAGTACATTATAGTTCAGTACAGTACAGTACAGTACATTACATTACAGTACAGTACAGTACATTACAGTACAGTACAGTACAGTACAGTACAGTACAGTACAGTACAGTACAGTACAGTACAGTACAGTATAGTACATTACAGTACAGTACAGTAAAGTTCAGTTCAGTAAAGTACAATACAGTACAATACAGTACAGTACAGTACAGTACACTTTATACATTTAGGAACAGTACAGCACAGTAGATGCATTACAGTACATTGCACTTGCTACATTACAGTACAATACACTTAATACATTCAGGTACAGTGCAGGTCAGTGCAGCACAGTACAGTACTAGTTACATTCAGGTAGGGTACAACACCGTACAGCATACTATATACGTTTAGGTAGGGTACAGTACCGTACAGTAATACAGTACAATGCACACACACAGTACAGTTTATTAGGGAAAAAATTGAATGAATAGAACCGTTTGGTGAAGGTGAGTTAAGAAATATAATTGAAAACAAAATTATCCGAAAATGAAAGTTCTGGAAACTAAAATACGTCACTTTCTGAAAATTTTCACATTTTCGTAAAAACAATCTTAGTTTTTTTCAGATAACTATCATTACTTAAAACCAACTGAGTAATTCTATTAAAAGATTTATAATTTCTAGGCCTATTCGAAAAAGTACTGCACGGAGACAAACATTTCAGTTTTTCTTCTTTATCTACCCTTCTCTCTTCTCCTAGCACCCATTTTCCTCACTGCCGTAGAGAAATTATTCATCAGGTAAATAGTGTTGTTAATCGATTTGGATCGTTTTTAGAAAAAAAATGATGAAACTTAATTATGAAGATTTCAAAACTTAATTCTGTTAAATGGAGTGTTCGCGGAAAACGAAAGGGGCTTATGTAAAAAATATGCAATGGCACTTGCTACTAATCTTACTTCTATCGGTGGCGTCTATAAGGAAAAACTGCAATATTCGACACGGATCGTTTAAAAATCAATTTAATTCCAAACAATTCATTGAATCGGAAATTGAACGTAGATATCGAAAATGGTCTCAATCTTGATTACAAACAAGTCTGCATAGACCCTTATGTGCAAACGGAGATTATCTTTATTTTTACCAAATTTACTCACTCCAGTTAGAAACTTTAGAAGCCTTTAAAATTGTCATTTTTAGATTTACAATCCTGAAATTGGGCTCATTGAATCGGAAATTGTACGTAATTTTAAAATTGGTATCAATCTTGAAAATCCGATTACAAACGAGTCTGTAGACCCTTATTCTCCGTTTTTAATGAGACACCCTGTATGTATGAATTTAAAATCCGATAAACGCCTATTTACCGAATTGAATTTCTTGTAACATAACAATTTCTCAATTTTTCAATATATGTTTTACCAATATCTGAATGCTTCACTGCGTCGGTAGTTGGGTAAAATTAGGTCAAAATGAATAAAAGGGCTTGCCTTAAAGGGACAGACCGGCTATATAAGGCAGTTAAACTGAGTAAGCAGTGTTGTGAACAAATTCTTTAGGATTTATTTGAGACATATAAAACGTTTCCACGATGTATAATTACTGAGTTTGATTGCATAGTCGACATTCAAAATAATGAATTGGGTGGGTACGTTTTCAGAACCGATTTTCTTAAATTATTAAATAACGACGACGAAAAATAAAGTAAAAATTATACAGCAAACTAATTAGATGGTTAGGAACATATTTCTCAAAAGAAATTTGTCAATGAATCAATGCTAGAATCAATTATTTCGTTTTCATCATTATATTGAATTTCTTATTTTCTATGAATTTATTCGCAGATTTCTACAAATCTGCAAATGTCGTCTTTTCAATAAAAATTCCAGATAATCTTTGTGAATGATTAAGAGATTGTATATGTTCCTAATCAACTAATTAGTTTACTGTAGAATTTTGTTTACATTTTTTGTCGTCGTTATTTAATAATTAAAAAACACAATTCTGTTAAAGTAACCACGCAAAAGTACGATTTTGAACGTCGACTTTGCGCTCAAACTCAGGATTTACAGATCTTTTAAAATTTTTATATGTCTCAAATAAATCCGAAAGAAGTTTTCCACAACACTGCATACTCAGTTCAACTACCTTACATAGCCGGTCACTCCCTTTAAAAGGACTGTATGCGGTATACGTCCTGTCAAATAAATACTCTTTAAAACATTACTTGGTGTTCAGCCATGGCGGTATTGGTAACTTTTGCGAGTTCAAAAATATCTTGATGATTGCATGTATGAAAATATCATTAAGAAAAGTTTTAGATAAACTTCAAATGAGCTAATTACTCGTGTCAAACTATACTTGTCGATCTAATCCTTATATCCTTGATTTGAAACCTGACATTGAAAACTTTTGATATTTCAAAATTTGCAGAATTTATAAGTTTGAAATATAAAAGGTCTACACTCTACACCAACATCAAGTTGCATATGAGTTATAAGATTACAGTGAATCCCAAAATATATGAATTCTTAGCAAGAGTTTTGTATAATGTATAATTCTTTTATTTTTAATTTAAGGTAAAATAGTAGCCCTGAAATATGAATGAAATTTATATATTAATATTAAACTCATTTTTCCGCAGCATTTAATCTTAAATATGTAATACGACATTATAAAAAAACTCTTGCTGTTTATTCATATATCTGGGATTCACTGTATAATTTTAGTTTGTGGCGGGAAATATGTTTCATTTTCATCGTTTCATTATCTATATAATAAAACAAGACATTCGTATATATATGTTGCGTCAAACGGCTTTGACCGATTGGGCTGAAATTTTTTGTGGGCACTCATGGGTGGCCCCCCCTATTATAGGTTAAAAAAATTCGAAAATTTTTTTTTCAACATTTTTTTCAACATTTTTTTCAAACATTTTTTCAACATTTTTTTTCCACGGGCAACTCCGAGCCCTTCAACTAGTTTCCAATATTTTTCTTTTTTTTCATATGTAATAATGAGTTTTGGGTACAATGCCGTAGAGCCATCTCATGCTGCTGTTGAGATTAATCTAAAAGTGCAGATCTAAAAACATTTTAACCTAATGTTAGATAAAACTTTACTGTACTGAAATAATCTATATTATATGTTTCAAAATATTAACAACAAAATTCCGTTTACATACTCCTGTAAACAAATAGAAACATAAATTCTAACCAAGGAAATTCAATAGAGTCAACAGAAAATAAAATAAAACTGAACTTGAATAAAATACATTTTATTTTCCTGCTCCTAACTTTGGAGAGGGTTATTTTCCTTATACATAAGAAACTTTTTAACAAAGGTTTTTTGATATTTATAAAATTTCTTTTTCTAGGTGTTTTAATTGCGAAAAAAAGTTGGACCAATTCTATTCTTTGTTAGGAAACAATTATAGAATTTTAAAACAAAAAATATGGAAAAGAAAAAATTTTGAAATTAAATTTTTTTATTTTCAAAAAGTTGATAATTGTTTAGTTAAGGAGAGTTTGTGCACGGAGGAGGTTGGACACCTAGCTAATGAGAATATAAAGTATGTTCAATGTTAAGTTCATTTATACCCCAACGACATTTCCTCTCTTACCATTTACCATTTGTTATTTTACGATTTGCTCTTTTATTATTTGTTTTATTGTCATTTTTTTCCAAATGTACTAGAAACACATATCGTTTGTTCTTTTACCATTTGCTCTATTAGCATGTTTCTCTCTTACTATTTTCTCTATTACAATATGTTTTTTTACCATTTGCTCTATACATTATCATTTTTTCTTTTAGGATATGTTTCATTTTCTCTTTTATCATTTGCTCTTCTAGTACCATTTGCTATATTACCGTTATTTTACATATTGCTCTTTTACTATTTGTTTTTTTGTCATTTGTTCTATTACAATTTGCTCCATTACCGTTTGTTCTTTTATCATTTGCTCTTTTACCAAATGTTCTCATACCATTTGCACTCATATCGTTTGTTCTTTGGTCATTTGCTCTTTTACCATTTGTTCTTTTACCATTTGCTCTTCTACCATTTGGTCTAAAACCAAGTTTACCATTTCTTCTTTTTCCATTTGCTCTAAAAACAAGTTTTTGATTACAATTTACACCATAACATTTGCTCTTATGTTAATTTCTCATTTTTACAATTTTTTCCATTAGGGTGCTCTTTCCTGTTTCTCTATTAAATGATTTGCTCCATAACCTTTGCTCTTCTGCCATTTGCAAAACTTTTTCATTCATTTCCAATCTCTATTAGGTTTTATAATTTTTAGCTTTTCCCATTGTCTCATTTTTTCCTTCTTTCTCCAATTTTCCTTTTTATTTCAAGATTGTCCTTTATCAAGGTTTTCATCGGAATAATTGAAAAAGATTTTATTTCAAAATTCGAAATATTAAACACATCAAATGCTGTTTGTTTGAATTGAAAATTTGCTTGGTTATGTCAATTAAGGATGTAATTGATTGGATACCCAATTTTATTCCAATTAACTAATTCTGTAGTTTTAATTACAAAATGCTCTCAATTTTGGTAAAATAATCTCAATAGCATTGTATATAAAAACAATACAAATACAGAGTCGGCGATTCAAAAAACTCGGGAAAATACGGCTTAGATCTAAGCTGTCGTTGGGCCTCATTTACGACTTGAGCTTTCGGATTCAAGCTGCATCTTACTTTTCACAGAGTTGAGTTCAAAAAACCGGTTTAATTTTCTATTTGGCGGATTTTCATGGTAGGAATTGGTGCATTCTGGGTTTTATGAGAATAAGACTCATCATTGAGCCTTATTCTCAACTAAAACCAACCGAGGTTGGGTTCGATTTAATTTTCATTGGACTTAACTTCTTAAGTGAAGCCGAAGATCTTGCATCTGTCAATCACGAGACACAAGCTGTCGTCAGAAGATTGGGTCTTAAAGTCGGGTATAAGGAATTGCGGTTCGAGCCGATGTTTTTAAATCGCGGGCTCAGAAGAGATTGCAACTTTTTAATGAAAGATTGAACTCATTCTGTCCAACTTCGGAGACATTAATTCTTCAAAACTTAAATTGACTTGAGAAACATTAAACACAAGATTTGGAAGAAAAAGAAATACAATCCAACGTTTTCTAGATAAAGAAATGATTAAGTTGGTTTACCCTGTCTATGTCTTTACCTAGATAAACGGCGTTAATATCAGTACAATGAAGACGAAGTTTTAATTTTTAACACGCTTTTTCAAATTACAAGTTACAATTAAAAGCTGTTATATTGACAGCATCTCTTTCCCTCCATGTTATATATGTATCCATGCTGTTTGAAAGCTTGGTAGAAATAAAAATTGAAATCGAAAGTCGTCTTCATTGTATTGATGTATACGACAACGTCTGTACAATACTGGAACTGTATTTTCTCTGGAAAGGTTTTGTTAACTTTTTTAGTGACGGAACTTAATCAGCTCTTTGAGTTTAAGTTATAAATTAGCTTGATAATAAGAAAACAGTGGTTTACAAGAATCACCATTTTTGGTCATTTTACAGGAATTTCTTGTATACCTTTCATTCATTATTTTCAATAATTTTTTATCAGGGAATTGCATGAAATCAAGCAAGCTTTTAGAAACAGTTCAGGCTGCTACAAATCATATCTTTACAGGTAACAGTTCAGGCTGCTACAAATCATATCTTTACAGGTAACAGTTCAGGCTGCTACAAATCATATCCTTACAGGTAACAGTTCAGGCTGCTACAAATCATATCTTTACAGGTAACAGTTAGGGCTGCTACAACTCCTTCCTTTACAGGTTACAGTTAAAACTGGTACAAAACATATCTTTACAGATAATAGGTAGGTCTGTTAGAAATCCTTTTTTATAGGTAACAGTTAGGGCTGCTACATATCTGGAAACAGATAGGGATTATTTTTTTCCAATTGGAATTCCGTTGCACTTAATTGCGCTGAATTGCACGCCACTGTGCGGAATTGCGCGCAACTGTTCTCGTATTGCGCGGAATTGTGTAGTCTTTTTATTATTGAATCATGAAAACAAGAAATATAAAAGTGAATTGTACAATTTTATAGGATATTTCATCTTATGTGGTAAACACTGCAGAAAATGTTCTTAAAAATAAATAGAAAAAATGCACCATTATATAATTTCATTCTTGAGTAAAGTGAGAATAAAGAAACAGGTTTCTAACAATGTTTGATTCATTAAAAGTTTTTTAGTTGATTAAGATTTATCCAGAACTTACAAGTTCTTATCATAAATCTGATATTCTAATATAGTTCCAGAGTTTTTATTGCATTAGCTACAGGACCTAAAAGGGTCCAATCTTCTTTGTATAGTCACTGGTCTTATTTATTCCACTTTGATTTCTACACTGCAAGAGATTTAGGCTTTCAGATTATCATGTACACCCCTTGCACATAACTCAGATACGCCTAATTTATGCAGGGTTACCCACAAACTATGAGACTGTAGAGACAACCCAAAACTATGATAATTTTAAGCTTGATTTTCGGTTTCGACATTCAATTGAGTATTTTGATGGTTTACTAAATGATTAAGAACAGAAATAAGCCAGTTTTGGCCTACAAGGAATACTGACTGCAAGAAAACGGACTAAACAAATTCCATACTTAATTCCATACTTAATTCCATACTTAATTCCATACTTAATTCCATACTTAATTCGTCTCAAAAGTCTCATCCTTTGTGAGTAACCCTGTACTTTTTGAATCGTATTTACCATTATTTTAAATCGTTAATTCAAATAAATTAGAGAGAGAAAAACAAAGATAAGAACAAATTTACGATCCTGATAAAATTGGGACTAGGATTAGGAACCATTCTTTGTAACTTCAAGTGGTCCTCTATTTAAAAAGGGACAAGACCGATTCACAACATTTAAACCTTTAAACCTTTAGGTCAATAATGTGGAAGATATCATCGCTTTTCTAGATTTCAAAGTGTTTAATTCTGACAATCGCCTACATTGCTTCGGTAGCAAGTAATCCGCCATTTACTTTTATAGATAACCCTCGTTAAAAATAATTTATATATTAGTTTAAAAAGAAATTATGCAGTTCTCATTCAATCATAGAATCAGACAAAATTTTTAAGGGTTCTGTTATGAATCGGACATACACTTGGATGGGGCACTTTACGTTTAGTATAAGCATGCGTATCCGAACTTAACTTGACAATTTACACATTTTTTTCCGGCTGATAGTAGTATATGTTTAGAACTGTATTTGAGCTGATTATTGTATGTAGGCTGATACATCTATAGGTTTAGAACTGTATTTGAGCTGATTATTGTATGTGGGCTGATATATCTATATGTTTATAACTGTATTTGAGCTGATTATTGTATGCGGGCTGATATATCTATATGTTAAGAACTGTATTTGAACTAATTATTGTATGTGGGCGGATATATGTATATGTTTAAAACTGTATTTGAACTAATTATTGTATGTGGGCTGATATATCTATATGTTTAGAACTGTATTTGAACTAATTATTGTATTTGGGCTGATATATCTATATGTTTAGAACTGTATTTGAACTAATTATTGTATGTGGGCTGATATATGTATATGTTTATAACTGTATTTGAGCTGATTATTGTATGCGGGCTGATATATCTTTATGTTTAGAACTGTATTTGAGCTGATTATTGTATGCGGGCTGATATATCTATATGTTTAGAGCTGTATTTGAACTGATTATTGTATGCGGGCTGATATATCTATATGTGTAGAGCTGTATTTGAACTAATTATTGTATGTGGGCTGATATATCTATATTTTTAGAACTGTATTTGAACTGATTATTGTATGTGGGCTGATATATCTATATGTTTAGAACTGTATTTGAACTGATTATTGTATGCGGGCTGATATATCTATATGTTTAGAGCTGTATTTGAACTAATTATTGTATGTGGGCTGATATATCTATATGTTTAGAACTGTATTTGAACTAATTATTGTATGTGGGCTGATATATGTATATGTTTATAACTGTATTTGAGCTGATTATTGTATGCGGGCTGATATATCTATATGTTTATAACTGTATTTGAGCTGATTATTGTATGCGGGCTGATATATCTATATGTTAAGAACTGTATTTGAACTAATTATTGTATGTGGTCTGATATATCTATATGTTTAGAACTGTATTTGAACTGATTATTGTATGCGGGCTGATATATCTATATCTGGATCACCGTGACATTCCTGGGTTGCTCCATCCGTTCTTCGACTGCTTTGTTCACGATACAAAGTTTGAATGCGTCATTCCTAACTCAAAGTAAGAATTTTATCTTAACAACACTTGTCGGCCTTTATATCAATATCGACTCTTTATCGATAATGCTTCGATTTTGAAATTGCAAGTTGGCATGCAAAGAAAGAGAAGATGTTAATTGACAACCTATATTTGTTAACAAGTATTTTTTGGTCTCTGCTGTTTGACAAGTTGGTTGAAATCAAAATTAAAATAGGAAGTCGTTTTTATTTTATTGATATATTTGACGGCGACTGTAATATTATTCTACAGTTTCTTCGTGTAACTTTTACAGCTCTTCAGATTACCAGCCAGACCTTTCATTCAATAATCAATATTGTAGAAGATATTGTCGTTTTTCTAGGCATAATTCTGATAATTACTTTATGTTTTCTTGCAGTAGCAAGAGCTTTTTATAGTAAACCCTCAATTAAAAATGATCAGCTTCCAAAATTAAAAGCATCGATGTCTAATTCATACTTGACCTGACTACAAGCTTTGAAGAGTGCCGTTGTGAATCGGGCATTGGTATCTTAGAATGAAGAGTTACTTGAAATTACCCTTTGCAGATACTTTAAAGTGACCAGTTCTAACTGGCTAAGACGGAAATGACGACGTGTATAATGATCTAAATGCTAAATTTGATCCTTCTTTTCTTTGAAGTCCTTGAAAGGCTGGTGAACTTTTGCTTGTACAAGGAAAATGGTTAAAATTGCAGGGAATCTGGAATTTAAGATAAATTTTGATATAAACCGCTTGCAGTCGTCTTTAAAGTTAGTTAAGGGGAAACCTGTAACAATGTATTCAATTACTAATTTATTCTCAAACTAAATACAGGGTGTTCCACGAAACATGACAGCTGCTGAATATTTTGAAATGTCTTTTTCCATAATTTGTTAAGTTGTTTGATATCAAAGAGAATAATAATAAACATTATATGACAGATTATCAAAGTAAATTCGATCCCAGATTAAGATATATTGGAGTAAAAGATATTTCTACCGAACTAAACTGCAAAAAGTCTTTATATCTAATCCAGTATTTGGAAGACGACATTCTTAACTATTCATCAATTGTCATGTTTGGCTAACTTAAATTAACTGAGGTAAAGCTTATTTTTTGGATTTTAAAATGTTTTTTGTTACATAGATTTTTCTTCCTGACCTTTTGGCTTGCTGTTCTCAGTTTGTTTGGATATGCAGGCTGTACTGCCTTTAACCTGGCTTGGCTTCTCTGTCCAAGGTATTGAGTTGAAAATGTTTTTAAATGTCGTCTTCTACAATGTTCTAATTTCTAGGATGAATAAACTGAGATGTCTATTGCTTGGGTGTAAACGTAGGAAGCAAACATTGTCTAGTAATAATGGTTCAAGCAGCTTATACCAGACAAGGTACAGTGGGAACTAGAACAAAACTGCAACGATTGTCGTCCTTCGTTTTTTCTTTTAATTACGAAATATCAGAGATTAATTAGCACGTGACAATTTGAAAGAATGATAAAACTAGAAGTGAAGTTTAATAAAATAAACTTCTCCGCTAAAAACGTTTTTTAGAGGATACCGAACCAATTCTAGAGTTATAGGAACTTTTTTATTGTTAATCCCGTTGTTGTAGTCTGAAAGATTAAGTCAATCCTTAATCATCATCCGAAACACGTTCAATCAAGCAGTATCAGCAGTAGCCACAAGAGATCTGTAAATACAAGTCAGCTGTTTAATTTTTCGGGGATTTAGAGTTTAGGCAATCAATGTTTTTAAATTAAAAGTTTTAAGGGTCTCAAGTTTAGACGGTGTAATTAAACAACAGTTCCTACCTCAGAACTTCTTCTCAATCTAAGTAATCTATGATGATTACTAAAGACACTATGCAGTGGTAGACGATTATATCAATATAATGAAAACGACTTTTGATTTTTATCAACCTGTGAAACAGCGTGGATACGCATAAACATAGTAGTCAAGAGAAGCTGTCAATTATAAAAGCTACTCTTTGATTACTTGTAAACTTGTAGTTTGGCTTGTTAACAATCAAAACTTAAATAAAAAAGTTTTATTCACTGTATTGATATAATTGCCTACCATTGTATTTTGGTGACCAATGTTACTGTTTGATTACTGTTAAGCCTGTCTATCTAATTAATCTATGGACACATAAATATGTTCTAGATAATTATTCTATGGATACATAATAAATATGTTCTAGATATTCTATTGTTGGAGAGGAGAGTGTACCAGTACTATCAGACAGGTTTTACCTCCATCTTCATCTTAAATAGAACTAGCTTGGCCTGGAAACTAAATTTTCCCCATAAAAGTTAACCCACTTCACTTGGAACTTATAAACCAGACTTTATATGCATAGAAAGCATGTCGCATAGTTCACTCTTGTCTATGTCGAGTCCATGTAGCGGAATATCCAATCAGGGTAAAGTCATGTGTTTGCATGTCTATTCTGAACCAATAGAAATTGAATGGCGGTATAACATCTATCTCTGTATTTATCTAGCTTATTATCCAATTAGAGATAAATTCTTATTGCGACGCTATGCACTAAATGGAAATATTTTTGTTTACTGAAACTAAAACTATTTTGAGTTTTAGAGTTATTTAAAAATGATTTGACAAAGAAAGAAACAAGTTTCCGAGGAATAGAATCCGTGCAATCTTCTCTGAACTGTCTTACTTCTTTTACGGGTAAAACTGTATTACTGTAAACTGTTTTACTGGTTTATTTTTTACTTTTGGTTCAAAACGTTTTTATCAAAAACAAAATGTGGACGTTTCCGAACTTTAAACACATAATTTAGACGATTTTTAAACATGACACAAACATTCACATTTCTGCTGTACAATAATAATATATTTTCGCATTTTTCTTTGACAAATTTTAAACTTTCCTGATAAATAAATTAACATATTCTGCAATCTAGGCTGGAGATGTATTTTGACAAGAAAAGTCGAGATTTCAGTCTTCTTATGGATTTATTGGCAGAATCTAGTGGTATTGTTCAGTCTCTTAGGTTAGTATATAATTGGCCGAATTTATTCTAATAAAAAATTAAACTTCATCATGAAAAGAATTTATATAGAGTGACGTCCATTTATAGAGTGGCAAATCCGATTCAAAACAGTACCCTTCAGAGCTTTGTTTGGTCACGAATGAATAAGCTTTCAATGTTTCTTTTTTTGAAATGCTTTCATGAAACAAAGGAGGAAATTGTTAGAAGTAACACTTTTCAAGCTAAACGTTCACTAAAAATTGTTCACTAGGAGAGACACAACTCAGCTTTAAAGTAGTTTGTACATTCCCATTTCTCTTATACGGTGGTAGGCGATTTTATCAATATAATGAAGACGACTTTCGATTTCAATTTTGATTTAAATCAAGCATTTTAACACCATGAATACACAAAAACATGGAAACAAAAAGAAGCTGTCAATTGAAAAAGCTGCGATTTTATTTCCTTATAATTTATATTCGAAAAACGCTTGTTAACAATTACAACTTTAATAATAAATTTGTCTTCATTGTATTGATACAATTGCCTACCAACGTAGTTTAAATGTCGTCTTCCTATTCCAATATTTTATGGGTCTTACTGTATATACCTAATTATGAAGGATACTCTGCCTGTTTGACCGACAGTTCCAGAAGATGTGGGACCCGACCAGTATCCAGATACTAGAACAAACAGATTATCTGGGTGAGAAATAGATTATCTGTCTAATAAATAGAGTATCTGTCTAATAAGCAGATTATCTGTCTAATAAACAGATTATCTGTCTAATAAACAGATTATCTGGATAAGAAACAGATTATCTGGGTGAAAAAACAGATTATCTGGGTAAAAACAGATTATCTGGTTAATAAAGAGATTATCTGGATAAGAAACAGATTATCTGGTCAAGAAACAGACTATCTGGTTAAGAAACAGATTTTCTGGTTAATAAACAGATTATCTGGGTAATAAAAAGATTATCTGGATAAGAAACAGATTATCTGGATATAAAGCAGATTAGTTGGGTAAGAAACAGATTATCTGGATACCAAGCAGATTAGTTGGGTAAGAAACAGATTACAAAACCTGATTATTTGGGTAAGAAGCAGATTATATCTGGGTCCGGTAAGAAACAAATTATCTGGGTAAAAAAAAACAGATTACTTACGTAAAAACATATTATCTGGGTATGAAACAGGTTATCTGGGTAAGAAACAGGTTATCTGGGTAATTAACATATTATAACTGGGTAAGTAACATATTTTCTGGGAAAGAACATAATATCTGGGAAAGTAGCATGTTATCTGGGAAAGAACAGTTAATCTGGGTAATAAACAGACTATCTAGGTAATAAACAGATTATCTGGGTAAGAAACAGATTATCTGGTTAATATACAGATTATCACACACTTCCTATAATATTTTTTTTCAAAGAAGAGCCAAAGTTTATTATTATTTTTTTACAGGATTATCTAAACAAGAGAATTTAAAGACAAACCATGTATTTTGGAAATTTTATTTTATTTCATTGAATTTCATATTATTGTCAGGCAGTGGGGATGAGAAGACGACATCTATTAACGTATCATGGAGTGACTGCCATTTTGCAGACTACGCCAAGAAGAAGTTGGGTAAGTAAATTTTACAGAAATTGGATCCAATGGTGAGAAGGGTGGAGGCATCTAAAACTCTCTGGCCAGCCATGTCGACTAAAAGGCGGAAGTGGCGAAGAAAATCAGCTCCCAGAATAGGAACAGTGACTGGAGCTAGTTGGAAACTCCATTCATAAGAGGTGGAGCCAAATCTTAGTGGGATTAATCTTTCTCCATTACACGATACATGGGAACCATCAGCTGTCTGGAGGCGTAGCTTGGGGAATTTTGGCGGGGGCCCATGGTGAGGGAAAATAGAGACGGAGGCTCCAGAGTCCACCAGGAATCTTCTGGAGGTTAGATCATCTTGAAGGTAAATAAGGTTCCCGGCAGGTAGAGCATTCAGTTTCTCCTGCCGGACATCCCGTTTCCCGGAAACAAACATGGAGACCTGCACTTCTGAGCTTTGTTTCCGTATTTATCATGATAGAAACAAAGCTCCCCTTGTGTGTGAGTGTTGAATGAAGAGGGATTCATCTGAGAGTTGTCTGACTGTCGTCTTTGTTGCTGCCTGCCAAGCACATGTCGTCGCTGAGGGTTTGAGTGTTGGTTCCTAGGACGTTCACATCCTCCATCCTGACATCATCCTCGAGGTTGGTGCAGCTGTTCACCGCTCCTGTCCTGTCCTGCCATAGCTCATCAGCTTCGTTGGCTACTTCTCGAGGGTCCTTGTCCATGCTCTTCAGTAGGAAAACCCTAATTTCGTGAGGAAGGCGACGCAGGAAAAGACTTTTAAAAATAAAATCAGGGGTGTAACCATCTGGCATTAAAGAAAGCATGTTGTTCATCAGGTTAGAGGGACGCTCATCAGGAGAGAATGGGAGTGCCATGATGGACTCAAACCTCTGATAGTCCGTCATTGAATAATGTTTAAGGACTCGAGTTTTAAGTGTTTCATAAGGGGTGCCAGGGGGGGGGGTCCTCAAGAGATCGTAAAATTGTCTAGACATTTCCTGAGAGAAAGCCTGAATAACATAGTAGTACTTTGTAATACTGGCTGTTATTCCCTTGGTAATGAATTGACCCTCAGTCTCCAGGCTGAAAACAAACTGCTGGGCAGCGAGAAACCAGGAGAACTGAAATAAATAAAGTCGAACCAAACAGGGACCCTACTATATAGCTCCGTATGAAAAATACAGGGACGGTGATGGGTATAATTTCAGGTTTGTAGGTGAATAGTGGCTGCGTGAAAATTTCAACGTCGGGGTTACCACTGTAAAGGTTGGAAACTAGATCTACTCAAGAGAGAGAACACTGGATGTCTAAATATATATTTGCGTACAATGTGTATAGTAAAGTACAAAGAGGAAGTTGACAGGAACTGGTCAACTTCCACGTAAACATAAACAGGGATAAATATGATAAATATATATGAATAAACTGGTCCTCCACAGTTTTTTCTTTTCTCTCTCTTTATTGAAAACAATTTAATAAAAAATTCCTTTTTTTAATGAAATAAAAAATCCAAATTGATATTTCCAGGAAATAAAGTGTTGGAGTACACTGTTGAAATTCAGCCAGAAACAGAAGCTTCAATTAAATCTTTTCATTATTACAGGTCAATTATATTCAAAAATATTAGAATATTATTTCACGGAATCTTTGCCATGAAGAGCCCAGTTTTTCATGGTAATTTTGGACATTTTTTGAAATTTTCTAAGAAAATTTAATCAAAATTTTATTTTTATTTTTAGAAGCATAAAATCCTGACTTTTTATGTTTATTAATATTACTAAAAAAGTTTCAAAATGTTAAGTTTTAATGTTTTAGACTAGAGAGTTTGGTTGGCCAAATTGGTTTACTACAGAACCCTCTAGAAGACGACCACATTGATATAAAAACCGGTTTTCAAAATGGCAAACACACAAACGGAATGGATAAGCATACAGAAAGGTAAAAAATGTTAGATACCAATACTGTCTATCAACAAACCAGCTTTTTATAAAGAAATGAGAATTTCTTGGTTGTAGAACTAGGTAAGAGTAGTTAAACTACTTTAGCTGACTTTCCCAAGTAAGAACAAATAAATTATAACGACGACCTCTTGACTGTTGTTTCAAAAAGTTAAGTTGAAGAATATTTTAATTTATTGTTTTTGTCAAGTTTTAAACACAGCACAGGGTTACCCTCAAAGGATGAGTTTTTAATGACGACCTAAAATTCTTGAAATACATCAACCATTTTAAATGATTTTGACAAAAAATTTAAGTTTCCGGCTGAAGGGAACTTTTTATATAGTTTAATTTTGTTTTTAAACGTTAAATTAATATGATTTCGAAATCAAGCATTTTATTCATGTGTTTTTTACGATTGACGATTGACGAATATTCCATGTCCCATATTAAAAAAGTAATGTTTTTTAGATTCCAAAAATACAGTACAAGATTTGACGGATTAGTTGTAACCCAGGTAAGAGAATTGCTTAGTTTTTTCCTTTTCCTTTCCTTTCCTTTTCCTTTCCTTTTCCTTTCCTTTTCCTTTCCTTCTCCTTTCCTTTTCCTTTCCTTTTCCTTTCCTTTTCCTTTCTTTTTCCTTTCCTTTTCCTTTCCTTTTCCTTTCTTTTTCCTTTCCTTTTCCTTTCCTTTTCCTTTTCCTTTTCCTTTCCTTTTCCTTTCCTTTCCTTTTCCTTTCCTTTTCATTTCCTTTTTCTTTCCTTTTTCTTTCCTTTTCCTTTCTTTTTCCTTTCCTTTTCCTTTCCTTTTCCTTTTCTTTCCTTTTCCTATCCTTTCCTTTTCCTTTGATTTATATTTTTTATATTTTTTTAGAATTGGGGGGAAATATTCCTACAACCTCTATTTTTGAAGGTTTATATATTATATAAACATTTTTCATTCATGATTAAAGGGAGTGTAGACATGGTTTAAAAGCCACCCTCCATTTATACAAAGATGACACACAGTCTTCGTCATATATATCAATACAATGCAGACGACTTTTGATTTTAATTTTGATTTCTACCAAGCTTTCAAACAGCGATACAATACAAATAAACATGGTAGTAAAGAGAAGCTGTCAATTAACAGCTTCTCTTTGCTTACATGTAATTTGTAAAAAGCTTGTTATAAACCAAAACTTAGTTAGATAAGTCGTCTTCATAGATAAGTCGTCTTCATTGTAATGAAAGAAATCAACATTTAAACTCCAGTTATCAAATATTATGTTAGTTTCTTTTAAAAAGCACGTTTAGGATGAAAAATATTCTCTAAAAGTCCTGAAATCTTCAACATTATTGGACGGGAAAGGTAAAGGTTACCGTCAGGGGCTTATATAAGAATTTTCGTGCGGAAAATGATAAGTTTTTCGAGTACTAAGGGTTTATTTTGGNACAGTAAGCCACACGTCTAGTACCCTCCAGCTAGCCACACTTCCAGTAAACTCATACTTGCTTACACTTCCAGTGACCTCCAGCTAGCCACATCTCCAGTAGCCTCCAGCTAGCCACTCCTCCAGTACCTTCCAGCTAGCCACACCTCCAGTAGCCTCCAGCTACTTCTTGACAAAGACAATCTCGACTTCGCCGCTCTTCCATGTTTTTCGGGAAACCCTGAATAATAAATTTATAAGAATAGAAATATTCATTTGCATGAACATAGATGGCTGGATATTCAGAAACTGTATAATATGAACTATGGTACCAGTGTGAATCTGAAAGTTCAATACCCTAAAGCTGTATGTAAGGAAGCACATTTTAGTATTTATCCTGACTGTTTGAAGTTTAGTAAACCTTGTCCATAATCCCAGGACAAATATATATATGTAAATATTGTCCATGCTATTCAAAAAAGAATTTTTAAAGAATTTTGTTTTGTATACAGTAATAATCAAAAAACTCTGAAATGTGAAACCGACTTTTATACTCAAATGACTTTAAATAGTCCAACGGACATGAGGCATAGCGATTGTGTAGTGTAAACAATACCTATTTCACTTAATAAGTGATTTAATAACTTAGTAGTAAATCTATTTTCTTTGTATAACAACATTAAGTGCACTTTAATTAAAACATTAATCGCACTAAAGTATTTCTATAATGTAGTCTTCCAATTCCATTGTTTTCTGGTTATCATTGTACATAATATTTTTTGTGTGTAAAAAGAGATTAAAAATCTTCGTACTAAAACATTAAAACACGTTTCATAGAGATTTTTTCATTTTTATATTAAATTTGTTTTTCAATAATAAAAACAAACCAAAAAGAAGGTTAAAATTTCCTTATTTATTTTTATGTTTTATTTCAGAGGATATTTTCAAATATCTATATATAATCTCCTCTAATAATAATTACTCTCTAAAGTTGTCTTCCTTGCAAATCATTAAACAAAGAATATTGATACTTAATTTTTAACGAAAATAAACATCGGCAAGTGCTTTTTCGGTGAGATTTTACACGGCTGGCAAAACATTGAATAAACTGTTTATATTGACACATAATATATGAATTAAAAATGATATTGAAGATTTACATGAAATTTCGGGAACACTCCCTTGCCGTATCTTTAGAGCTTTGTTTATTTACAGAACTAAGTAAAACATATATTATAATCTTAAGTAAAGATTAAAACTCTGTTTTTAACGGTTATACTGAATATTAAATCTGTAAAAAGATTATCTGCTCTTTTGTTTTTCTCATTTTTTTGGATAAAAATAGAAAGAAGTATAATGTGGGCATTAAGTAAAACCGGTGTGTATTTACGACGTAAAATTTATAATAATTTATAATAATTCTTAATTCAATAAATGACTTGGGGGGGGGGGGGAGGTAGGTAGGGGGGTTTGGTAAAAGTACAATTTTATTATGTCGACTTTATACTTATAGTATTTAAAGGGAGTGTTCGTCAAACATATAAAGAATTGGCTAAATCAGAATTCAATCCGGAATGGATTGCTACTAGTTTTTTTGCAATATGCAATAGTAAAAATGAAAGGATCAATTTAAAATTATTTGCAGTAATACCATTCGGGGGAAGTTAGTTCAAACTAATACTTAACAGCGTATTTATTTTTAAATCCAAGCCGAGTTGAACAAAACTACACCATTCATATATTAAAAACAAGGCTTTTAGGGGGCTTCGCGCCCCCTTTCCTGTAAATTATTTTAGCTTATAACCGTTGCTCTGAAAGTCTTTTAAATTTTGGCGGATTTCTCTTTTCGAATTGTCGCATTTTCAAAAAAATGTCAACTATTTTTTAGGAATTGCTTTTCCAATTTTGATGTTACATAAACCTTCCCTGGGGTCATGTGAGTTCCCACACAAAATTTGGGCCTAATCAGTTCAGCTGTTATGACGTTTATTGGATACTTAATAGACAGACAGACAGACAAGCTACGTATTTAGATGGATAAGTAAAACTATATATTGAAACAAGAAATGTCAACTTGAAACTAATAATAAGGTATTAGAATTAGTTTTTGATGATACTTGATTTCACTTTCGACATATCTCTATTTTGAAACAATTGCCGCTTTTCAGCCCATGTTGCATTTTGGAACATATCCTGCTTTTGAGACAATTACTCGAGTAAATTTTCAAGAATTTACGCACGTGCGTAACAAATCAATCTTTTTTAAGAAGGTCAAATATAAACAAAATAAAAAAATAAAAACTTTCTTTTCTTTTATGATGAAAAAAAAATGCTTACGGCATTGAAAACCCAAAATATCAATATTATTTTATCTTACAATATAGATTCAACTAGAAATGCTGGAAATTTGTGCCCAAAGTAAAATTTGTAGCAATTGATTTTGAATTAAACTCTAATTTAGACAATACCCCATTTCATTTTTCACGAACACTCCCTTTGAGAAATTCTTATCTTTTATAATGCACTGGATATAATGTATATTTACGCAAAGCTTTTATTGTCTACTAGTAGTTATAGTCTACATGTACACTGTACATTGTATACACAAGACACAGTCTATTTTACCGCATTTTTACAATTCTAATCATTGGTGGATTTTGTGATTTTGTTACTTGTAGATGTTAGTCAGTGATTTCCTTCGATTTGTGATGTGAAATGGTATAAGAATGGAATTTCACAAAAATATTTGCTGTAAAAGAACAGTGAAAAAGTAAATTTTTGACAAAAAATACATTTTAAGGATATGTTCAATAAAAATGTGATTGATATTGTTGATATTCATCTATCATTAAAATAAACAAATAGCCAATAAAAAATGTTGAAGATGTTAGTTGTTCTAATATTTTTTACACTTTGGGGTGTAGGAGAGCCCAACATTGAGCTTCTGAAAAAAGGTAATTAAACATTTTGTACTTGTTCAGTTCAAAAAACATATTAAAGAGACTGATTTCATATGACCTTCCATTTACAAAGTGGCATGTCCTATTTACAACAATTCCATTCAACGCTTTGCAGCTGATTTAGAATGATTGAGCTTGATATCCTTGATCTCGCATATATTTGTAGCAAATTTGCAACGAAATTGGTCTTATGCACACTGAACTAAGCTAGTGGGGTAGGTAAAATACGCCTATGATAGGCCGGGTACTGTAAAAAGTCTGTCCGCGCCCCATCAAAGTTAAAACCGAGCCTGCATAGGATAGGGTCGATCTGGTACGTGTCACAAAGGCCAGCACAAAGGTTAGTCCGGTTCGAATTTGAATTGACTCTAGTCCACTGTGCATGTGATTTATCTTTGAAAAATTGGTTTTGTTCAGTTATTGTGTCGTTATAAAGGTGACTTGCTCCAGAAACTATGGAGAACATTTTGTAAATTTAACACTTTTCAAGTTGGAAAACAGACAATATTATCAACATTATAGATCAGACATGGTTTAAATAATACCGTTGTGGCTGCAGGAAAGGCCCTTTACAAATGGCCAGGTCAATTGAAATTACAATTGTAAGGTATTTTTTTCTATAATTAAAAGGTGAAGAACCCGGCGTTGCCCGTGGAAAAAAATTGGAAATTTTTTTTTAAATTTCTTTTTAGACTGTGTCAACCCCCCGACTACCCATGAATTTTAGCCCATTCGGTCTAGCCGTTTGGCCGGTCAGAAGGAACATATATTTGAATGTCCTGTTTTATAATATATAGATTTATCATAAAAGTTCTTTATAGACTAATCTATTTAGCTGTCTATTTTTCTATCTATATATCTGTATATCTATCTATCTATCTATCTATCTATCTATCTATCTATCTATCTATCTATCTATCTATCTATCTATCTATCTATCTATCTATCTATCTATCAAAGACATGTTAATCCTTTGAGCCTTGTAACTCTATCCTATCCTAACACAGAACGAGAAGTGGACTCCCCCCCCCCCCTGTATAGTCCTGTGCCCAGGGGGGGGGGGGAGTGTGACTGTGATGGAAGGGGAACGGAGGAGGGAGGGGCAGGGCAAGATGATCTATTATTACCAGATTTTTAGTTTCCGGTTTCTTTCATCCCCTCCCCCTTTTTTACCTCCTCCCCCCCCTTGTAATCCTTTAATATTATATCCTCTTATCCTCTTCAACAATATGATGTAATTAATTTATATAATTGCTCACAGGTATTTTAGATTTTAACTTTTTCGTATTTTCCTTCATTTTAGAATTTAAAATATTGTCTTTCTATTATTTGATAATTCTATTATTAGCCGGGCGCCATTTTTCCCGGTTTCCTGAGTTCATAGAATACCAATGTACTAATTTCCCTAGTTTTCTAAGCCATGGGTAACCACTGAGCCAGGATCCCTGGGTTCCCAAGACCACGGCTACCCAGTAAGCCAGGATCCTTGGTTTCCTAAATCCATTGCTATCCACTAAGCTAGGATCCCTGGTTTCCAAAGTCCATGGCTAACCACTAAGCTAGGATCCCTGGGTTCCCAATTCCATGGCTACCCAGTAAGCCAAGATCCTTGGTTTCCTAAGTCCATGACTAACCACTAAACTGTGATCCCTGGTTTCCTAAGCCCATTGCTAACCACTAAGCTAAGATCCCTGGTTTCCTAAGTCCATGGCTAACCACTGATCCAGGATCCCTGGTTTCCTAAGTCCATTGCTGACCAGTAAGCTAAGATCCCTGGTTTCCTAAGTTTATGGCTAACCACTAAGATAAGATCCCTGGTTTCTTAAGTCCATGGCTAACCACTAAGCTAAGATCCCTGGTTTCTTAAGTCCATTGCTAACCACTAAGCTAAGATCCCTGGTTTCTTAAGTCCATTGCTAACCACTAAGCTAGGATCCCTGGTTTCCTAAGTTCATGGCTAACCACTAAGATAAGATCCCTGGTTTCATAAGCCCATTGCTAACCACTAAGC